CGGGGGCAGGGGTGGGACTGGGGTGGGCCAAGTAATGCAACCTTGGTTCTTCTCTCTCCCACCAGCTCCTCTGGTCTCCTTTGCCCGTGAGGCACGTGGGTGCTCTCCCCAGAGGCCAGGGGTCTCACAAATGTTATTCCAGGCCTGGGCCAGGCAGTGTAGTGAGGCGGAGGGCTAGACCTGGGTCTGGCTCCAGCCCAGCTGCTGAGCCATGTGTGACTTTGGGCTTGACCCCGCACTTTCTTGAACATCGGATGTTCCTCCTGTAAGGTGACCACCGCCTCATCAGGGCGTAAGGCCCGGCACACGATAGGTTCCTCACGCTGGACGCTGCTGGGTCATCAGGGTCTGGGAGGGTAGGAGGGTGACTGTGAGAGCCTCCAGAAGCCTCCCGTGGGAACAATGTCCCTGGGGATTTGTGGCCTTGAAGGCCTTTGTCCTCTGGGCCGTAGCACGTGTGCTCTCATACGGGGTTTCCGAATCACAAGCTCTGTGCCGGGCGCCATGCTGGGGCTGGGTTCTCAGAGAGGAGATGGTGGCCCCACCTGGGGTTACCTGTGGGCTCCCAGAAGGCATGATGAAGGCAGGAGAATGGTATCCTCTCTCCTTGGCTCAGTGTGTGATCCTGAGGTCTCTGGGTCATAGGTCCTGGGAGACTTCCTGGAGGAGGAGGCATCGAGCTAAGTGTTCCATATGTGGTTGGAATAGGTGAAGTGAAGCAGGTGGAAGAAAAGGCACAGGCAGAGTCTGGGAGGTGGGAGACAGTCAGGCGAGTGGTAAGGAAATGCAGGGTCATCGGCAGCAAGGCTGGTTGGGGAGCCTCCAATGCCGGACACAGTTATGACGCCTGGTCCCTGTCTCAGAGGGCATGTGGGCTAGTGAGGAGTCTAGACCAGCTGCATGAAAAGCTGTGGTGTCAGACGGCCAGCTGGGCTGATCACTACAAGCCACTCAGTCCTGAGGGCTGGGCCCTGAGGAGGTGAGGGGGGCCTCCCGGGCCTCTCATCCCCATAAGCCAGCATCATTCATCCATTCAGGTGTTTTCCTGAGCACCTGTAGGCACCAGGCAGCCCATCAGTGCTGACGATACCACAGTAAACAGACTCAAGTCTTTTCCTTGTGCAGCAGAGAAAAACAAAGCCAGGGAGGGCTGGAGAGGGGTTGTAATCTTCGAAGGGGACGTTGGAGCAGATCATTGGAGGAGATGAGCAACACACTGGATATTTGAAGGAAAAGCATTCCAGGCAGAGGGAACAGCATGTGCAAAGGCCCTGAGGCTGGAGTGTGCTTAGTGTGAGCTAGTGTGGCTGGAGTGGAGTGGGTGAGGGAGGGCCTTGAAGCCCATCGCACTACTAGGGGGAGCCTTCAGGGATTTCTTTTTTTGTTTTTTTTTTTTGGCTGCGTTGGGTCTTCATTGCTGCACGCAGGCTTTCTCTAGTTGTGGCGAGCGGGGGCTTCTCATTGTGGTGGCTTCTCTTGCTGTGGAGTGCGGGCTTCAGTAGTGTGGCACGCGGGCTCTAGAGCACAGGCTCAGTAGTTGTGGCGCATAGGCTTAGTTGGCTCCGCAGCATGTGGGATCTTCCCGGACCAGGGCTCGAACCCGTGTGACCTTCATTGGCAGGGGGATTCTTAACCACTGCGCCACCAGGGAAGCCCAGGGATTTCATTTTTTACAGAATTTTTTTTTTTAAGTTGAGATATAATTTACACATTATTAAATCTATCCATTTTAAGTGTACAGTTTGATGACTTTTAGTATAAACATACAGGTGTGTAGCCATCACCACAATCCAGTGTTAGAACATTTCTACCACCCAGAAAGTTCTCTCGTGCCTGTTTGAAGTCAGTCCCTGCTCTCAACCCCTGGCAACCGCCGATCTGCTTTCTGTGTCTATAGTTTTGAAATTTCAAATAAGTGGAATCAAACTATATGTAGTCTTTTGGGTCTGGTTTCTTTCACTTAGTATAATGATTTTGGAGGTTCATCCATATTGTTGCAAATATCAACAGTTGGGTTCTGCATTTGCAGATATGGAGGGCTGACTGCACTATACCATTTTATATGAAGGACTTGGGCATCCTCGGATTTGGGTAACCTCAGGGATCCTGAACCAATTCCCCAAGGATACCAAGGGACAACTGTGTACTATTGTCTAGATGAACTTTGTGTTTATATATTCACCAGTTGATGGACATTTGGGTTGATTCCATGTTTTGGCTATTGTGAATAAGGTCACTATGAACATTTTTTTTTTTTTTTTACAAATGATTGTATGGTTATATGCTTTTATTTCGCTTGGGTGATTGGTTGGGTCATATGGTAGGTATATATTTAACTTTTTTTTTTTAAAGATGTTGGGGGTAGGAGTTTATTAATTAATTTATTTTTGCTGTGTTGCATCTTTGTTTCTGTGCGAGGGCTTTCTCTAGTTGTGGCAAGTGGGGGCCACTCTTCATCACGGTGTGCGGGCCTCTCACTATGGCGGCTTCTCTTGCTGCGGAGCACAGGCTCCAGACGCACGGGCTCAGTAGTTGTGGCTCACGGGCCTAGTTGCTCCGCGGCACGTGGGATCCTCCCAGACCAGGGCTTGAACCCGTGTCCCCTGCATTAGCAGGCAGATTCTCAACCACTGCGCCACCAGGGAAGCCCCTATATTTAACTTTTTAAGCAACTGCCAAACTGGTTTCCAGTGGGGTTGCACCGGTTTTCATTTCCACCAACAATCTGTCCTGATTACTCGACATCCTGATCAGCACTTGATATTGTCGGTTTTTCTGATTTTAGCTGTCCTGATCTGCGTGAAGTGGTATCGCATTGTGGTTTTGATCCACATTGCCCTTGTGACTAATGATGTAGGTCATCTCTTCATGTGCTTATTGCTGTTTATGTATCTTCATTGGTGAAATGGGTATTCAAATCTTTTGTTCATTTTTTTATTAGGTCTTATTAGTAAGTTGTAAGGGTTCTTCATATGTTGGTGAATAAATGACCTTTATTAGATATATGATTTGTAGCTTGACCCAAGCCTGACAGCGAGTGACTCCTGGGCCCCAGAATTCCTGGGGTGTCAGGGAGTTGGTCAGGGGATTAGAATGTTGGATTTGGCGGACTCTGGGGGGCAGGCCGAGGCTGGCATACCTCATACACCCATCAGCTCACCTGGGCATGTAGGTGCCACTACTTTGTACCTTGCAGGAACTCATTTTCCTTTGCTCTTATGTCTAACCACCCTGTGTGAGGAGCTGATCCTTCCCATGGCTATGCCAGGACGGTAATAGTGTTGTTGGCTCATCCTGCTGGCTTGGGAGCCTTTCTGGGGACACATATTCCTGCTGTGAGCATTGTGGGTTGGCTTCTGTATTAGTCAGAACTTCTTTGGTTGCAAGTGACAGTGTCCCTCAAAGAGAATTAGGCAAAAAGACATAACAATGCCTGTGTGTATCAGGATTTGTTGGCTGATGTAAGTGAAGGGCTCAAGTGACCAGCTTCAGGTTCAGCTGGATCCAGGCCCTCCAAATCCTGGGACTTAGCTCTGCTTTCTCTGTGTTGGCATTGTTCCCTGGCAGTCTCTTCTATGTAGTAATCCTGCAGCTCCTGGCTTTCATCCCACACCTAGACAGCCCCAGAACAAGAAGAGCACCTTTTCCTAAAGGTTCCAGCCAGAGTCCAGGCCCTGATGCTCCTTGGGTCACATGATCTTCCTTCAGCTAACCATGGGGCTCTGGCCAGGCCTGGGTCATGTGTCCACTCTAGGTGTGGGGATTGGGGGTCAGCTCATGTAAGTCATATGGCTCAAGAATGGAGAAAAGGGTTCTCTAAAAAGGAATAATATTCTGTGACCATGAGTGGGATAAGGATACGGCTGGACAGGCGAAGGGTGCGGCATCCCCTACTGCATGAGTTTAATGTCCAGAAGGCACTAATGTCCCCTGTTCCCGAGGTCCTGAGGGGGTGATGCTTTCTCCCAAAATCCTCTGTCCGTCCGCTGTGCTCTGCATCCCCTCTCCCCACTGGACAGTGTGCTCCCCTAGGTGGAGGACGCATCCTGCCTGCGGCTCTGGGGCAGGACAGGGCCTGGCCTATGGTGAGCCCTACATGAATACCTAGTAGAAGAGAGGGTGTGCACACAAGACAGTGGGGGAGTAGGGGATGTGGGCCTGTCCTTTCTGCCTCTCCCCCAACTCCCCTGCAGCCAGTCCCATCTTTCTGTCACCTGGTACCCTGAGCTGATCACCATGGAGATTGGGGGCTTCCCCTCTCAGGAATCCCCTTTGTCAAACACTAGTGCCCTATTGGCCATATGCATCGCATCTTTCTCTGCTTAGTCATGAAAGCAGGGAGCTGTAATTGCGGGAGGGCAGGCTGAGGGCACGGCAAGTCCGTCCTGGCAGGGGGTTGAGGCAGGTGTAAGCTCCTCTGTGTGTGTGTCCCTGCACCTGGGGTGGAGTGGGTGAGTGCTGGATGGTGAACCCAAAGCTGGCGTATGGCCTGTGTGGTGAGGCTGGTTGATTAAACTAGATGTTGCTTTGTCCAGCCTGCATTGAGGGATGTGAGCCGTTGGCTGGTCCTAGAGGGTCTGGGGGCCACTGGAGAGTGACCCACTGGGTTGCCCATGCATGTCAGAATCTGCTGGCCAGTGCTGTGTGGTGAGAGCTACATTCAGCTGTTGGTGGCCGTGCTGAGCTGCACGGTCCTGCTAAGGGGCTGCTGGGGTTAATACAGCCTGTGCTGCAGACCCCTGAGCCGGCTTCCTCCCGATTTTCACCTCCTGGGTCCCGGATGTAAAACAGAGTGTGTGCCCGACCCAGAGTCTGGCGGACTGGAACACGTATCCTGGCAGCGCCACCGCCATGCTGGGCCCACGCCTGCAGCCACTTCCCTGTACCTCGGTTTCCCTATCTAGAAAATGGGGATGACCATGGTCCCTGCCTCACGGGGCCAGGGGTGCTTTGCCACCTGGTGACGTTGTGATGTGATCCCTCCTGTTCTCTGCCCACAGGTGAGTGACAATGGCGGAGAGCACGTGACCTGCACAGACCCTTCTCTGCCCACCGAGTGGCACCACCATGCAGAAGCCCAGCGGCCTGAAGCCCCCCGGCCGCGGGGGGAAGCACTCAAGCCCCATGGGCCGGACGTCCACTGGATCAACCTCGGCCTCTGCCACTGTGACGGCCACTGGCTCCAAGGAAGGTGCGCAGGGCCAAGGGTGGAGCGGGGGTGGGTAGTGGTTCTTCCGGAAGAGCCAAGGGAACTTGGGCTGCTCCCTGACCAGCCTGGAGGCCAGCAGTTCCCAGAAGTTCTTCTTGATGTCTGACCACATCCCTTTGAAAATTAACGGGCAGGGACACATGCTTTATGTGCAATTGTTCCTTTTCACGCTCCTCCAAATTTGGGAGGCGGTACCACTGTTGGCTTCCCTTAGGGATGAGGAAATGGAGGCCCAGGGAGGCATGGCAACTTGCCCACGTCACTCAGCCTGGGAAACACAGCCCGATTCAAACTCCAGCCTCTGCCAGCCTCCCTGCCCCCACTCATTCCCCTTCCAGGGTCTGAAATGATCCCCATCTTCCCATCAGCTTTCTTGTCTACCACCCAGACCTATGCCCTTTGAGCTTTACTTGTGTAACCTGTAGTCCTCCTGCTGGTGGGCAGAGGGTTCCTGGCAGGGCAGGGATAAGGCCAGGTGCTCGGGCTGGATGCACCAGCTCTGAAGGCAGATGGGTTGAGGACAGCTGTTAGTTATTGGCTTTTTCTAGTGATAAAAAGTAAGAGAGTCCACTCTGTAATATTTGGAAAGTTTGATGTAGGGGTAAAATTGCCTATAATCTTCCCTAGAGGTAACTATTACTATTTTGGTTTATATCCTTTCACTTTTTTTTTTAATATATATCTTTGCAATCATGCTGCATATACAACTTGAAAATCTGCTTTTTTATTTTTTTATAAATTTATTTATTTTATTTTTGGCTGCATTGGGTCTTCTTTGCTGCACGCGGGCTTCCCTCTGGTTGCGTCGAGCGGGGGCTACTCTTGGTTGCGGTGCACGGGCTTCTCATTGCGGTGGCTTCTCTTGTTGCGGAGCTCGGGCTCTAGGTGCGCGGGCTTCAGTAGTTGTGGCACGTGGGCTCAGTAGTTGTGGCTCACGGGCTGTAGAGCGCCGGCTCAGTAGCTGTGGCACATGGGCTTAGTTGCTTCCCGGCATGTGGGATCTTCCCGGACCAGGGCTTGAACCCGTGTCGCCTGCACTGGCAGGTGGATTCTTAACCACTGCGTCACCAGGGAGGCCCTCTTATTTTTCACTTTGGTAAATAATGCTGTGATGAACATCTTTGGCACAAATTCCCACTTTGACGACACTCCAGCCAGCAGGGTAAGACAGGGTCCATCTCATCTGATTGGCATAGAAGTTTGGAGAGGCAAAACCAGTCACAGACCAGACTGGGCAATCTGGGCCCTGGGTAGGGTCAAGTGAAGTTTGAGCCAAAGGCACGGGCAGTTGACAGAACCAGGTCCCTGGGGAAGCCAGACAGCTAGCATGGAAAGGTGAGGAAGATGTGTCATGTGGCCCGTGGACTGCCCTGCCTGGTACAGGCTCGTGTGGAGGCCCAGACAACCCCTTTGAAGGTGGCAAATCCTCCTTTCCTCATTTCTGAGCCTCAGAAGAACCTAGGCGGGGGGGAAAAAGCAAGGGGAAAAGGCTGTTCCAGGTGAGGGAACAAGTAACAGAAGGACCCTGAGGCAGGAATGGATTGTTTGTTAAAAAAGAGAAAGAAGACAGGTCTGGGTAAAGAGGAGTGTGAAATGAGGTTGGGGAGGGTGGCAGAGGCAGGTGGTGAAGGGCAGGGGGACTGGGTTTGTTTTAAGTGTGATGGAAGCTGTTGGTGGATGTTAGCAAAGGTCGCCTGGTGGTGTTGGCATTCCTCAGGCCACCAGGCAGAGGGCGGGTTGCGGGGGTTAAGAGCGGGGCTGGGGAGACTGGTGAGGAGGCATGTGGTCACCCGGGTGAAGATGTTTGTACTCACTTCCAGGGCTGTGGAGGTGAAGGGGCTGACCACAATGGGTGGCTGCAGGGAAGGCTTCCTGGAGGAAGTGTGAGTAAGCTCATCCTTAAGGAAGGAGGGAGTGTAAGTGTGGAGGAGGAGGACGATGTGGGGCCTGGAGACAGAGCATGGGCAGAGGCACCAAGTGGGCCTAGTGGTCTAGAGCGGGTGGGAGTTGCATATCCCACTGGCTGGAGAAGGGCTCCAGCCAGGCTTGGCCCTGACCCTCTTCTCCACTGGAGAGAGCCCCTAGCACCTTCTGGATTCTTTCCTCATTGCCTCCTCTCTGATCCAGAGGGCCTGAGTTCTGGCTCTGATCCAGCTCTGATGTCCCTCCTGTGTGACCTTGGAAGCATTACTTAACCTCTCTGAGCCACAAATGGGATAATGTCATTTCTCTCAGGGAATCAAGTGAGTTAATAAATGAGAAGTGCCTGCAGGCACAAGACTCATTAAAGAGTAATTTCTTTTCCTTTCATCCCTCCATAATCTCATTACAGAAAAATTTGAGTGATAAAAGAAGGAACTCCCATTACATTACAGAAAAATTTGAGTGATAAAAGAAGGAACTCCCATTACCCCTCCATTTAACCTAATCACAGCCACCACTGTGACATATTCCTTCTGGTCTTTTTTCCTGTTCACATGTTGTTGTTTCAAGCAGTTAAGTCATGGGTTGTATCCAGACTTGCATCCTACTGCTTCACATTTGATTGCGTTCTATGCGAAGTGCCCCCCGCCCCCGTGCTATGGCAGTGTCCTCTTTGCCATCATTTTGAATGGCTACATCCTGGTCTCTCGAGGGAAGGGGAATGGACCACACTGTGTGGCCTGCTGATTGCCTCCTGGTCACACCGCACGGTGGTCTGGGGGCCGCTGAGGGTGGGGCCTGGGTGGTCTGACTCTGCCTGGACCCCAACCCCGCAGGGCTGTTCCCGTGCCAGGAGAGGAGGTGCCGCTCCATGAATGCCCGATTGATCACAGAGACACGCCCCCTGCCGAGGGACGCGGTGGCGGCAAAAGGCTGCAGCTGCGGTTGGTGCCGCCCTCCTTCCCGCTCTGACACCTGCTGCCTTTGCAGGTCAGAGAGAGACAGACCCCCGGGCTGGGGGAGGGAGCAGAGAGCCGGGAGCAGTTGGCCAGGGCAGTGGAGCCCTGTGACAGGGGAAGGGAGGTTTCTGCGGCCCAGAGCTGCTTTCGTCCCTGCTCCAGGTCTCATAACAGGAGTCCCAGCAGAGGCGGGATGTGTGGCAGCAGCAGGGGAGGACGGTGGCCCCATTCCTGGCCCACAGGCTCCCTCACCCACCCCATGGAACTGGCCATCAGCTGTCCGAAGTGCTGGAGGTGCCCACCCCCATGGGAGGCTGGGAGGCTGGGACTCCGGAGGTGGGTGCTGGAGCACCAAGAGAGGGTCTGGCAGAGGCTGGAGCCTGGTGGTGGCTGGAGGGGGGCAGTTGCTCTGGGAATCGGGGCAGTGGCAGCCTCCCAAAGCATGAGCTCAGCCTCCGGGCAGAGGATCTGCCAAGGGTCAGGCCTGGGCTGATGCCTCCGCCCCGCCCGGCCTTTGTCGGTTCCCAGAGCCGCAGGACCAGAGGGGCCGTGGGAGGGGGTCTCTTATACCAGGAGGTGGCCCAGAGGTGGTCAAAGCAGGTGCAGGGGAAGGCGGTCTGGGACCCACCAGTGGGCCAAAACCTGGGTGGGGCCTCTAGGTCAGGGGCAGCCCAGCCAGATGGGATGGACCCCCTGGAGGCTGCTTCAGATCAGGCAGTTGGGGCGGGGGAGGGGGTCCTCGCTCAGGAGGTGACACTGGCGTGAAGATCTTAGTGACAAGCAGGAACCCGCAAGGTCAGGGAAAGGGCATCCAGGCAGAGGCAGTAGTGGCTACAAAAGTCCTGAGTCTTGAGACCTCTAAGGACGGGGATGGATGGAGAGCGGCTTGAGAGGCCTGGGGAGGGTTGTGAATGGGCCGGGGCAGGAGAGGCGACCGGAAGGGAGTTGGGGAGCTGTGACCCAGGCCGCCTGGGGGTTGGGAGCCTACCCTGGGCCTGAGGAAGATGTGGGGGGAGCTCAGGTCTCCGGGCTGGTGGCCCAAGATGCTGCTGGGGTTAGGCCTTCCATTTGGGTCAGGAGCAGCTGCCGGTGGCCGGGCAGGTCCAACACTGTTGGGCAGTCGTAGGAACCACGGCAGGCTGTGCATAGGAGCCCTTAGTCCTTCCCGGGGTCTGCTTCTGAGCCTCAGGTGGGGGCAGGCCAGGCTAGGCCGTGGGTGTCCCTCTTGGGACAAGAAGGGCTGGCCGCAGGGACCTGGGGAGGGCTCTAGGGACAGGGACAGACCATAGGCCACTGTGAGGTCCCTCTGCCCTTGCCCCCCACTGGGGCAGGAGGACCCTTGGAGGACCTCTCCCACCCCTTGCCCTGTGGTCCAGCCCCAGAGATTTCCCATCTAGGAGGGACAGCGTTTGACACTTGTGTGTCACAAGCCGGCCCTGCAGCAGGTGTCTTATCACATTTCTTTCTCATTAACAACTGAGTGAGAGAACTGCTCTTCTGTCCATTTGAAAGATGACAGAACTGAGGCTTGGAGGTCTCAGCTGAGTTGCTCAGAGTTACAGGGCCAGAGGGTAGCAGGGCTGGGCTTGGTCTAAAGCTGGTTCAGGCTGCTGGTACCTACGGCCCCCGGGTTGAGGCAGCTGCGGTGGCTGGACTCGAGTCTACTCCTACACCCTGCTCAGGCACCGGCTAGATGGGCGGGCTTGGAGGAGCCATCCGTTCTCGTTAGGTTGGTCACGGCTATCCCCCAGTGTGCCTGTGGCCTTTGCACACGTGGGGGACCCAGGACACAGGAGGTCGAGGACGCGTGTGCATGGGCGTCCCCCTCAGAAAAGCAGCGGGCCACTTGGGGCAGGGTCCGCTTCCTATATGTTGATCTCCCCCAAGGGGCCCAGAGCTTTGAAGTTCTGGCTTATTGAGCTGGGGCCCGGGTGCTCCCACACCCTGTGGGTGCTCCAGACATGGGAGCCAGCCTGACGTGCCCGGGGTGGGGTGTCCCACAGAGCTTCACAGCTGGCCTCTAGTCCTAGACACTGACCCCACTCCATTCCACCCCCGGAGGTTTGTGTCTTTCACCTTGATCCCCATGCTCCCTACGAG